ACCGATTTTCAACTACTTAAGCTTTTAACAAACATGCTAATAATGGTAAGACCTCAAAACTTGAATCAGGTTGACCAAAAAAGGAAAAAAAAAGAAAAAAGAGTGTAGTCCAGTTGCAGAGGATGATGGAGAAGATGAAAATGAAGAAGATGAACTCATCCTTGAAAATGATAATAATGAGGGTCTATAAAGATGATAAATTGATGTTAGATTGCTTTAGTTCATTGTTTCTGATAGAGGTTTTGGCCTTACATAGTCATTTGACTTGGATGTAAGTCATTTACATGCTTGTATTTTCCTTGTAAAGCCTTTTGATACCTCTTCTTGATTATCTATTATGCTATATTATAAATTTATCATGTGATATGGCTGTAAATAATTGATCACTGTAACATATTGATTAGGTCATCTCATGATACCCAAAACTACATCGTTGGAAGTGATATGTGAAACCATATCTAATTTGGCAACTTTGATTATGATGCTGCCTTTAGAGACAACACCATAAAAGGAAGAAAATATGCAGAAAATGATTTTGCTGGAAAACATTTCCAACAACAAGAAACGTGAGAACAGGGGAACAAATGTAAAATTAGTAAGAGGTGGAAAGGTCGGGATGAAAACTTGAGCGGGATAAGGAAGCTTTACAGTGCCCAGAAGAAAATCATGTACACAATGATAGTTGGGTTGATAGGTAATGCATGTGACCGAGCCTTAAAATTAATTGGATAATAAGAACATAATAAGGTTAAGATTTCAAGCATTTGGTTTCCTAGACATGAGTCAGAAACTATGTTGCAGGGATAAGGAAGGATATGGGGACACACACACATATGTATGCATGCATGCAAACATATATACATAGAGAGCGAGATGGGATCCTTGGTACCAAGGACAAACTTGGTCCATAGTAGTGAGGTGTCTCATCTCATCCACTCATCTAAATGGTCCCCACTTGAAAATGATGCTCCATTAATTAATAACCCATTTGAAAATGGTCCCACTTTAGATGAGTGGATGAGAATGAGCCACCTCACTTCCAAGGACCAAAGTTGGTCCTTAGTACCAAGGATACCCATATTCCTCATATATGTGTGCATGCATGTGTATAATACTTGCATTAGATCAAATATTGAATTAAAATATCTATAACATTAGCGTGTTTCTTTTACTATCTATAACAATTAAGAAGCAAGTTATTATAGAAGCAAGTTAAATCAAACTAGGAATGAAATGTTTAACAACAAAAGTTTAGTTTGATGGGGATACGATGGTGTGTCTGTGGTGAATCTGTGTACAATACATGTTCGACACGGATACAACACCCGAAATGAGGTGTCCAGGTAACCTAGATTAGAAATTATGTTGCCTAGGCACTACCTGTCACTAACACTCCTTGAATAAATGAATACATCTATTCATACGTGTTACAAGGTTTTAAATATCGGCCGACATGTCCGACATGTCGGCCGACATATCGGTTTGAGAGCTTGACCGACACGACATGGGACGTACCCAATTATATATTACATCTTTATTTGAAACACTTGTTAAACACTTCATGGAGTATATTATGACTTCAGCCACTTCTTGAAATGCGCTGGACAGGAGTCGGGTCTGCTTGTCATACCCAATTCAGAACTATGATTTTAAAATGATTGTTTGGGTATCTAATTAAAAAAACGAGCAGTTTTTCAATTTATAATCCACATAATAAAATAAACATAAAATAATATAGGAAGTTTAATTTTCATAACATGTGAATGAAAAAACATATTCTCATGTAAATTACTAATTTCAATACACACGCAATTGTGTATTCAAATCCTATATTTCACAAATTTCCTGCGTCTCGCACCTGTACCCGCACCAGCACCCCTATTTATGCAACATTGGTAAAAAAATCATTACCCTAGTGCCAAAAGCTTCAACTGAAGGTGTGGAATAGGCCTGGAAATACTCTGGCTCAAGATGGAAATTCATAGAATGATCCTTCTATGTATATGACTCAAAACAAATTTGTCTAACTTTGCCAAACAGTGTTTTCAATGCATGCAGGATGCTAAGATATAAAAAACATGGTCAATGTCCTGTGCCCAAGCTCGTTTATAACCTGTCTCAATCCATATGGGACTAAACCCACTCGTATCCTCCTCAGAAAACCACCCACCAAAAATATTCAAGATGCCTAACCAAAAACCAAAAACCAAAAAGTGTGTGACAAATGATAAGGCTCGTACTTACTCATTTAGATAGGATACTCTAATACTTTTCTCCATTAACGAGCTATTGTAATCATCTCCTCAATTGTGTACAAAATCTTTCTTCACCATTTTTTTTTAATTTTTTGGTTCTAGCCTGCTAACTGATATTCAAATCATGTTGATGCATATTTCTTGAAATGCATATTTCTTTTCAATATCAAAGATTTCCCCTATCGCTATCAGTAGTTACCTAACCTCTCATAACTGCACTCAATTTTTAATTCCACTTGTGCAACTTACCTATTTCAATTTCAGCTAAAACATGGCCTCATAGCTCTCATAGAATTTACATTCAATTCCATGAGTATTCTACACTCACGGCAGGATTCTTCTCATCCAAAACATTCCAGGATCCCAATATTCACTTATTCAATATCTTGATTTTATCTATGAGCATATACTAATATTGTGTCTTCTTCATAAATAATTGATTGTATGTAGTGGAAATACTTGGTAATTTCCTACGATTAAATGAGTTTATTCATTCTTTTTTTTTCCTCGTACTCCAATAAAATTTACATGCATATTATCTTTGCATTACTAGTCTTAATCCTTGAGCCTCTATCATCTAACTCAATTTCAACCAATGAGTATCTTTTTTTTCTGCAGTGCATTAAATGTGGTGATACCATTAGCAGCAAAAGTCCAAAAAGAGCAGGATCTTTCTGGTTAAAAGGCCTGAAAACATACAATTAAGGAAGAAGAATACTTAACCATCTAATTATTTCATGTGATGCAGACTAACTTAACCATCGAACTTTTTGGTTAAGTTAGTAGAAAACTAACCATCTAATTATTTCATGTGCTGCAGACTAACTTAACCATCTAACTTTTTGGTTTAGTTAGTTCTGGGTCAGACTAATTTAACCATCTAATTACTTCACATGACAGAATAATGAAAATTCCCCGTCTTTGTACTCAACCTCCTATTATGGACATATGCTTATTCTGGATGAGGCACATTCGTAATGAAATATGCACCATGGAAACTTTTAGTTGTATAACACTACATCTTGTGCAACTACATCTTCTTAAATATAACAGCGTCCACTTAGGAATACAGACACAGTAAAGTAGCACTACAGCTTCAGTGTCCATAAGCAGCAAGAATGAATGGAAGTCAGGAAAGAAAGCAGAGAAAAATTAAATAGTTGCTCTAAGATGCACAAAAATAGAAAGGTGTAGCATTTTCCAAAACTAAGAACCAAGTTACGAGACTTTAGAGAGTCCATAAGCATGATTAGGATCATCAGAGATGGATGAGAAACATGTCCAGAAAGGATAACAATACACGCAGGACACTGGTGAACAAGACGATGAACCAATAATCTGATAGTTCGAACTCAAAGGAGCTAAGGAAATCAAACATCAACAGATTTCATAAGCAAACAGTCGCAGCCTCATAACCCTTTATGCTTACACAGACTGGACTTCCATGGAAGACCCAAGCATCAAAATGACAAAGCAGAAAGAGAGTGCAACTCAAGAGAGATGCTTCAGATAAGAGTCAAATGGGAATTGAACACAATAGAGCAACAAAAACAGCTAGCAACACCTAATTGTGCAATAAATAAGTAAAATATTCTTTTGTAAACAGAAACTATGATCAGGCAGTAGCAAAATACATAAAAACAACATAATTATTTTCAGGTGTACTAAGAGCAGTGAGTACGTGTGCAATCTCCAAAGGTTAATTACAAAGAACTTCGACTTAAAATGGAAGAGTGCACTTCCTGAACAGTTTACACCGCACTCGAGGAGCAGTCAGATGCTGAGAACCGCAAGCTAGGTAAAGAACAAAAAGTAAACATAAAACCAAGTTGAAATTGCCATATCAAAATGGAAGGAAGAGAAGGTATTCATGCCAGATCCAATATCCAGTGGATTCTGCAAATGGTCCATGCTGTGAGTTTGATTAGTCAGTCCAAATGCTCATCCAGAAGCGCAATCTTGCAGCCAACAAAACATTATAAAATGAGATAAGACAATAATCAACAGGCAGTTGCCTGAAAGGAAACATATGTAAGATACATATATAAAGAACAGATCAATCAGAAAATAACCAGACCGATGGTCAGAGTTCGTCATGAAATAGCAAAGACAATAGTTTCAAACAATAGGACAGTGCATAATGCATGAGAAAATATAGCCGCTAGAGAGTTACAGATATACAGGTCAAGGATCCAATACTCAAAAGATACCTGAGAACTGGTACTGGTAGACCCATAGCAATAGCAGTATACTGGGAACTGAATGCTATAATTAAAAACTACTATATTATAAGCCGTGACAAAAAGTTTCAAGAAGCATATTGTTTCAGTCCCAGTGTCTTAACCTTCACCTCCATAGGAATAACTGAGACATGCAGATACTAGTCCTAAATTGCTAAACTTGAGCTGATGTGCTGCATTAAAGTGCACTTACGAAGTTAGTGGAGTAGATACTTTACTGCCTTTATCCTTATCTGGAAATTTTTTGTAGATATTATCTTCAGTACGGAGGTTTTATATATGACTTTCATTAAGAACATTGAGTTTGATGATGAGTCCAGCCCCTTAAATTTGCTATTTAAATGCCCCAGATCCTGTTTTCAGAGGACTACATTTGATTTCTGAGGGAAAAGTATAACAATATGAGAGGATAATACAGTGCAGATGCACTCTTCATTTAGTGGATGCACTCTTCTTTTACGGTAGCGATGACATTATACTGTCTAATCTTCGTTTAGTGGATGCACTCTTCTTTTACAGTAGCGATCATATTATGCTGTCTAACCTATGAATTAAGTTTTCACTGTGAATCTTATTCTATTTGGGCCAAGCATTACACAAGCCAACCACAGAAGGTTGGCTTAAACAGTTTGATGTTGCTGTTGGTGTAGCACACAAGCAAAAAATTCAATAATATGACCTTCAGTTCTCTATCTCACCAAGTAATCGAGTCTGTCTAGGTCTCTTTCATCTGCAGCTACAAACAGGTTGTGGAGGGGAAAAAAAGTTTTTGGGGCGTGTATTACAGGATATAGCAGATCCAATCTTGTGTGGTTGCATAGATCAAGTTAAAGACCCAAAGTATTTGTTCAAGATTTCATGCCAAAAATATACATTTCGATAAAATTACCAAAAGAGAAAAGATGTTTGATATGCATGATAAGAAATTTATATTATATGTGTGTGCGCGCGTGTGATTTACATAGTATGTAAGTGTCATGATCATTTCAGAATCTTTTATGCCATAGCTAGAACTCAGAACAATCAGTTAACTGCTGCAAAAGCTCACAAATGCACCTGCACCTCCAAGTTTGATGACACATGCATGTAACTCCTATAGGCATTTCCATGCCATACGTACTGTTTTCATTTCTTACAGTTTTCCATTTGTGATATGTCATATTTGCATATTACATTCTTTCAGTTGGCATATATATATGCTTCAACTAGAACCATCGACAACAATATCCATATTTCCAAATATTTCTGCTAGCATTGACTTCATTTGCAACCAAAAATAGTTTTATCAAATATACACACCAATAAAAGCTCTATTTTCACCTTATTTATCAAGGACATCACCTCCCATTTCCTTTACGCATTTTCTCTTCAAGATTCCATGACCTTGTCTCATTTTCTATTATCTCCATCTCCTTTTATCACCACTTCCAAAGCCTCGAAGTAAGCTGGCAACTAGTAACAACAACTAACCACCCTCCTAAGAATCTTATGTTCCTTTTTTTTTTACTTATATCTCTTATCCTCTCCCTGTACCTCTGTGCTTTTTTCTAATAAACTGTATGGTCATTTCCTTACTGCTACCATTCTTACAAAAAATGAAGGTATTTTAAATTATTGATCATAATATTATTGGGAATCATTTATTTTGCAATTGTGTTTTGTAAATATAGCGTGGGCAGGCATTTACTTTCACAGGCTTGTAGTTTATATGATTCTAGAAAACAGGTCAGATTTTCATATATTTAATGATATTTTAAAGTTCTAAATGAATTTTAAAATATAAAACCTGAAAATATAATCTTTTTTATTTCAAGATCTATGTGCAGAAGATCTCAACAATATCTCATGCTCTCCCTTTTCAAATATCAGGGGTATAGAAGTGATGTTGAAACTTGTCTCTCAGCGTATCCCATTCATTCTCTCCCTTATTTAACATCCTATCACGTATTCTCCAACATCTTCATATAAATTGGAGTCTTGACTAACCCTATGAACCAAAACTTTTAATCAAAAACTTGATCTTACTAAATATGTTCATTCCCAGTCAGAATTCCTGTGTTTTGTATTGTGTCCCAACAGTATGTCCTTAAGAGTACTTAACCTATACTCAGAGAGAAGTTTCCCTAAAATTGAATCCTTAAGAATTGATCCAACAGACTGTATTGGGCACTGTTCCTTAAAGACTACTTGACAGGAGTTTCTGATATCATTTATATCAGATTACTCTAGATCATCTTCGGTGGTTGCTTTGACACCTTATACAACATAAATATACAACATAAATAATGTTTTGAAAGGTACAAGATGTTGACATTGTGACAACAAACGTAATTACTTTATTATCTCTTTCTACGATCAAGCTTTTGTAACAAATCTAACCTTTCAAATATGTGGCAGTACCTATAGAACTAGACTTCGGACGGTATGTTACTCCCTTTCTTCTAAGACTTATTTCCCACTCAACTTGTTTTGATATCGTTATTCATCTCTCCTATATTTTTCTGGTCCTTAAACTAGTTATCATGACTGTCTATTATGATTGTATGTTCTGAACTTGTGAACTTAGCCAGTTACTGTGAAATACTCTCCATTTCGAGAGTTTAGCAATCGCATGTCCTTGCTTATTGTGGTGAAATCCAATGGAATTCACTCTCCAGAACTTGCCTGCATGAGAAGGGCGTTTCTTTAGTTCCTGCAGCTATTGAGGATCCTGTAGCATCAGAGAAGTTATACTCTGGCCAAAACTCATGGAAGCTGGAAATTTACTATATTCAAGAGAGAACAACAATCTAGCTTACACCTGACACCTAGCTAGTCAAATAGCAACTTGCGTGCGCCAGCACCATAATCAGCTGAAATCAGCATTGCTGAATACCAAACTGACAATATAGTGGGGTTTAAAATAGAAATATATCTGAACGGATTACCAATAATGGACATGCATTGAACTTCTGTAAGTTATTGCGACATAAAAATTATGGAGTATACCAAAAAAAAGAGTGAGTAAAAGATCTCCTTTGTCACGAACACTCATCCAATTTTTATTAGCCCAGAAAAATCCAATTATTCTTCATCCCATCATAATGCACTCGCATTTAACTTTCAGAGATAAAGTGAACTTCCCCGAGCTATTTCCATTACAAAAATCAAATTGCATTATCAAGAAATCGACCAATACATGGAAACTTATATGCAAAAACTGTCTTTTCTCATCAATTTTCGGTCCATTTTTCCAAAAAACAGTAATCCCACCTTTTTCATTCATCAACAACCCAAATTCTACGGATTTTACTAAATTAAAATACGCAAATTATGAAAGAAACACAGAACGATGCCCAAAAAGGAAAAGAATGATCAAAACAAAAAGAGAAGTAAAATTACCTGCGATCATTCAACAACAAGAGCAGAGCCCCAAATCACAGCTCGAAAACACCTCCGATCCTAAACAAAATTAAACAATTTAACGATGAGCGAAAGAAGAAAGGCTCCACGTGGCAGGATTCCTTCTCATCGACAGAAAGCAAGAAAAAATCCATTAAAAACTCGAAAAAATCCATGTAGAGGAAAGGAATCGAAAGAGAGAAAACTTACAGCAGAAATTTTGCTGGATTTTGCAGAACGGGATTCCTTTCTTGAGAGAGAGAGAGATTAAAAATGAGAATTGAGAAGCGATTTTTTATTTATTAATAAATTATTAAACGAAGGAGAAGAGAACAAGGGGGGTTAGGGGGGCTTGAATTTATTTTCTTTCTTTATTATTTGCCAATTTATTACCGCTGCCTTTAAAAGGAAGGGATAAAAACTGCATAATTGCAAAAGGAAATAATAATTGTTTTTAGAAAAGGAAATAAAAATTAATTCAGACTATTATCTCGTAGGATAACGCTCTCAGTTCTCACGCGTCAAGTTGAGGGGGCCCGGGGGCGGGGTGGGGGCCAGCTAAGACGGTGGGCACGTGTGAGAACGTCATCGTGAACGTCGCCTGTGGCTGACACGTGGACCGCTGAGATTAATCCTGGCGTGCAAAGAAAGGCTGGTCCACGTTCGTCCAGTTTGTCCAGCCCAATCCCCATGAGCACCACCACGTTGCTCGTCATTTGCGTTGCGGTTTCGCGGCTTTGTGTAGTGTAGCAAAAAGGATTTCCTAGCATAATGTAATTATTATGGAGCTTTCTCTTTATTTCGATTAAACCCCTCAAATTATTTATGTTTATTTAAACATCTTTTTCTGAACTGTGTATGAATGTGGTGCAATTATTTTATTTGGTGCATTCTCTACTGAAGACAATTTTAATGTTAACTACTTTTATAAAAAAGAACGAAAGGGAAAAAAATCGTAAATTAATCATAAATCATCTAAAAAATAGCGGTGTATTGTTACAGGTTAAAGCATAACATAGTTGTTTTGTTATATTTGAATGTTGTGTTGATATATAGCAACGAATTATAGGATTGGAAAAAAAATTATTATGACCAAACAGTGGTGTTTTTACTTCAAGTGTATCTAGTAGGTAATGAAGGAGGAGGAAGAGAATGAGGTTTTTATGATTTTGGGACATATGTGTTGTTTGTCGAAATACTTGTGAGGTGGATGAATTGGCTTGCATGTCAAAATAAAATTACTTAGACTAAAAATTTATCAATGCCTATAGAGTGTTTGGTGAAATACCAAAGAGAGAAATGGTTTCTTGAAATGTGATAATAACATGTCGTGTATAAAGAAAATATTATAGAAATAATATTATAACTGAAAAATTGTAGAAAGTTCTAACTAAAATGTAAGTAATCATTAACGTGTTGATAAAATTGGGATTTGTGTGATGTAAAATTGGTGATTTCAGGTTTCACAGTATAGACTCGTCTTAAATGTTAACTTTAGTAGTTACATGTTAACTATTTCTGCCATCTGTTAACTATCACATTTATCTGTTAACTTTTACATAAACTTGTTAACTCTTCTTGTCGTTTGTTAACTATCACGATTATTTGTTAACTCTCATATAAACTTATTAACTATTCCTATCGTTTGTTAACTGTCACTATTACCTATTAACTTTTCGCATGAACTGTTAATTTTCATGATCACATGTTAATTTTATAGTTTTTTTTAGAATCTGCCTGGTTTCTTAATTTATGCAACAGTGATATTTTTTTGAATTCAGAATATAATCACGTTGCTCCATAAAGTACTTCTATTTGTAAAGAATGAACCCAAACTGATTAGTGTGGATTGGTGTGTTGAATTATACTTTTGGTAGAAATATATAGGTTGTCAAGAATTTTGTAGCTCATTATGCAAGAATTTTGTTAAGCTTTAAGAATGTAATGTCAATCAAATTGTGTACTCAAAATATATCAATTATAAGAATGTAAGACTAATCAATATAAAGTACATGCTTACTATATGTTGGCTATTTATATTTATTGTTGACTATCCCAATTACATGTTAACTTTTACTTGAACATGTTAACTTTTGACTTTTCCTGTTAATTTTTACAACTCCGGATATTAGCTGTTAAGTATATATGATATCAATAATAGACATATGAAATTTATAGAAAAAAGGATCTAATTGGTGATTAGTGCGAATTGCTATGTATAATTATACTTTTGGTAGAATACTATAGGTTGTCAAGAATTTTGTAGCTCATTGTGGAATAATTTCGTTAAATTTTAAGAATCTTAGAGCAATCGAATTGTGTACTCAATCTATATTAGCTGTAATAATATAAGACTAATCAATATAAAACATATGTCAATCCTTTTCTAGCTTATTGTAATTTGTGCGGTAGTGACACTTCTTTGAATTCAGAATATAATCGTACTGCTCCAAGAAGTACTTCTATTTGTAAAGAATGAACTCAAACTATTACTGTGGATTGATATATAGAATTATACTTTTGGTAGAGATATATAGAATGTCAATAATTTTGTAACTCGCTGTGAAAGAATTTTGTTTATGTTTAAGAATGTAGGACCAATCAAATTGTGTATTCAATCTATATCAACTATAAGAATGTAAAACTAATCAATATAAAGTGCATGTTTACTATATGTTGGCTATTTATGTTTCTTGTTAACTATCAACTTTTATTTAAACATGTTAACTTTTAACTTTTCCTCTTAACTTTCATTGAAAATTATTAACTATGGATATTAGTTGTTAAGTATGTACTGTATCAACAATAAACGTATAAAATTGATAACAAAGAGAATCTAATTAGTGAGTAGCGTGGATTGCTATGTAGAACTGTAGTTTTGATAGAGCAATATAAGTTGTTAAGACTTTTGTAGCTCATTGTGGAAGATTTTTATAAGCTTTAAGAAAACAGACAGATTTTAAAATAAACTATAAAATTAGCTTGTGATTGTAAAAAGTAATAGGTTCATGTGAAAGTTAACAGGTAACAGCAACAGTTAACAGACGATATGAATAGTTAACAAGTTCACATGAGAGTTAACAAATAGTCGTGATAGTTAACAAACGACAGGAAGAGTTACAGGTTCAGGTAAAAGTTAACAGATAGTTGTAATAGTTAATAGACGATAGCAATAGTTAACATATAACTATCAAAGTTAATATTTAAGATGATTTTGTACTATAAAACCTGAAATCACAAAACTTACATCACACAAATCCCAGTTTTATCAACACGTTAATAATTGCTTACATTTCATTTAGCACTTTATGCATTTTTTCAGTTATACTATTTCTATAACATTTTCTTTGTACACGACCTGTTATTATCACATTTCAAAAAACTATATCTCTCTTTGGCATTTTATCAAACACTCTATAGGAACCAATAAATTTTTAGTCCAAATAATTTTATTTTAACTTGCAAGCCAACTCATCGACCTTACAAGCATTTCAACAAACATAACATATGTCCCAAAATTACAAAAATCTCATCCTCCTCCTCCTCTTTCATTACCCACTAGATATGATCCTTAACCCTAACCTTCATCTTCTACCACATTCATCACCAAATACATCCATACCCCCATTCCAATTGTCCTTTACTTCCCATCACTATGAACCTCACCGGTTCGATGAGTTCAACCTCTTGTTCCTTCTCTCATACTCCTTCTCCATGCTCCTCTCCGTCCATCTCACCGACCGCCTCTCCTTTTCCTCTAAGCCTTCTCAATACTCACCTAAGATGACAGGATTAGAGGGTATGCTAAGTGGTGGCGGAGGAGGAGCCGGGTGAGGAAGAAGTTGGGATCAGAGGGTAAGATGAATAAGAGGGAGAGCGAGGAGAAAGGTAGGGTTAGTGGAGAGGAGCAGAGGAGCAGAGGAGCAGAGGAGGAAGGATCTGGTCATTTGTGATAGGTTTCCACGAGAAGAGGGTAATTTCAGAAGAGGAGCACAAATACATCAAATACAATACCTTTTGGGACTCAACCACATTTTATTGGATCTTTTAGGGCTAAACAACATGGGAAAAATTCATGGGGATGGGCCATATGAGCTTTGTTTCTTTGGGGCTGTAGGTTGTCTAAAAATCACAATAGATAGTTGATCCCCCATCAAACACCGATGATGGAAGTTACAATCTGACGACTTCCAGAAGGCTATAATTTGAGGTCTTTCACGTAGAAGGTTATAATCTGACGACCTTCACAACAACTAATGAAAGCCCCAATTCAACAGCCTTCACAATCAACATCGGGAGTTACAATCTGACGACTCTCGTATTTTCAAGGAGCCAAGAAGAAGATTACAAGAGGACGATCTGTGCAAAGCTCTAGCAAAAGAGACTACAAATTGACGGTCTCTTCATATTAGAACGCAGATATCTCTCAAACCGTAAGGAATTTGGCGAAACGGAGGAAGCGAACCGAAGCCTTTGGCTCGGTTCGGATGGCCCCGTCTCGTCGAGATAGCCGATTTTCATATATAATTCGTCCAATTCCGACTTACGGTTTGAAAGTTATGACCTGTTCTTGCAGCAAGTTATGTTCTGAAGTCCGTCTGCAAGACTGGACTTCGTCAGAACATTGGACTTAGCCTGAAGCTCACCAAGCCCGCCTAAGGTTCGCCTCTGCATTACAGAGTCAAAAGGCACAGGTCAAACCAGCATTATAACCTCAAAACGCAGAGGTTATCATTGTGATATAACATCAGAATGCAGAGTTACGGCCCACCTCTGCGTTTTCAGCCTAAAACGCAGAGTTCACCTCTAAAACGGCCCAACTGTGCATTTTCAGCCTAAAACAGGCTTAACTCTACGTTTTCAGCCTAAAACGTAGAGTTCATCTCTAAAACAACACGACTTGTGCGTTTTCAGCCTAAAACAGGCCCAACTCTGCGTTTTCAGCCTAAAACGCAGAGTTCATCTCTAAAACGCATGCGGCCTGTGCGTTTCGACTCCCAGCGAGCGCCCAACTCTGCGTCTTATCTTTAAGACGCAGAGTTAAGGTCCGAACGCAAGCGGCCCTTGCGTTTTCAACTCCCAGCAAGCGCCCAACTTTGCGTCTCATCTCTAAGACGCAGAGTTAAGGTCCAGAACGCCCGGATTGGCGTTTTGACTCGTTCAAAGCACTAACAGAACGGTTTCAAAACCGTTTTCCCCACGATTTAGGGAGCTGCTTAAGAAGGGGCGGTTACACCCTACTCAGCCCATTGAGGAGCAAATTAAGGGGGCAGTTACCACCCGTAACCCCCTATAAATATCAGAAACTCAACTGAGTTCGGATCCTTTTTTTTGGGCAGTAAAGAAGAGATATTCGGCTGGCTGGAGCTGGCTCTTTG